AGCCCAATGCAGGGCTCAAACCCATGAAGTGTGAGGTCATGACCTGAGCCAAAGTCAGATGCTTAACTAACTGAGCCACTCAGGTGTCCCCATATAATCAACTTTTAAAAGAACAAAAACATAAGAATCCAAAATCCAGCACCCTAACTTCATGGTTGGCAAACTACAGCCTGAAGGCCAAGTCTGACCTGCCTGTTTTTGTAAATAAAATTCTGCTGGAACACAAGTACGCCTACTAGTTTATGGAATGTAAACTATAAGGCTGTAGTCCAGTAATTACAAGACTGTTTGGATTACAAAGCCATATTTACTATTGGACTCTTTACAGAATAGTTTGCTGACTCCCTAACCAAGCTCAAGACAGAAAATAATACTTTTGATGTCCCTGGTATGCCTCTTTCTGACTATAATATTTTCACTCCCTTTGAGGAAACTACCTAAATTTTGTGTTAATCATTTCTTCTTCCCCCGTGCAGTTTGTATGTATCCCTAATATCCCATTTAATTTTTCTTACTTGAATTTTATGGGAATGAAATCAAACTGTATATTCTTCAGTAGCTTCTTTCACTCAAAAGTCTGTATTAGCGACCTAATCATGTTGGTAGTTTAGTTCTTTTTCACTGATACAGTACTCCATTAGGATTATGCCAGAATTTATCAGTTCTCTGTTGGTAGTCACACAGCCTCTGTCCAGGTTTAAAAAACAAAAGGAAAAAGCCCCAATGCTGCTATGAACATACTTGTACATATATCCCACTATAAATGACCAATGAGTGTGTATAGGTAGGTGTATCGGAGTGTGCGCGCACGTGCGTGCGCACACACACGCGTGCACAAACACACGCGCGCTCGCACACACACACACAAACGCACACAATTCTACCCAGGGATGGAATTGCACAAATAGTTGGGCCACATACTTTTCAGAGTAGTTCATGAATTCCCCCAATGCATATTCAATAGGACACTCGACTTACCAGACATCATATTTCGCAAACCTAGTATTTTAATCCTTGTAGTTTTAATTTGCTTGTCTATGATGACAAGGTAGTTGAGCATCTTTCCATGTATTTTATTAGCCATTTTCTTCTGTGAAATGCCTATCTGTGCTTTTGGCCAATGTTTCTATTGACAGACTTGTCTTCTGCATTTTAAGTGCAGCAGTTCTTTATATATTTCAGAGGTTACTCCTCTGTCAGTTTTATACATGGCAAAGCTCTCAACTCCAGCTTGTGCTGTGTCTTTTCATTCTCTGAACCCTATTTTTTAATGTACAAATGTTCACAATTTTAATCTTTTCCTTTATACAATGAATATGTTTGATCATTTGGTTAAGTTTTTCCCTACTCCAAGATCACAGATATTATTTTATTTTGTCTTCTAAAAGTTTTAAAACTTCGCTTTTCACATTGAAGTCCTCGATGCATTCAAGATTCAGTTTTGCATAGGGTGTAAGATAGAAATTGTCTCCTTTTTCTTCACTGTGTAGATTATCAATTATTGAAAACTCCATCCATTCCCCCAGATCTTACAGCACCGCGTCTGTTGTATATAAAGAGTCACACACACGTGGCCTGTTTCTCAATGTCTGTCCTGTCCCAGCAAGACTATTTGGGTATTCCTGTGCCATTACTAGCATCTTAATTACCACAGCTCTATAAAAAAATTTTGGTATCTGGTAAAGCAAGCTTCCACGACCCATTCTTTTCCTTCAAGCATGTCTTGGCTCTTCCTTGGACTTTTCTGCATTAATTTTAGAATCAGTTTGCCAAGTGCTATGTAAAATCCTAATGGGATTTTGAATGGAACTGTATGCAATCTACGGATCGTTTTAGAGTGGAACGGCATCTTAAATACACTGTCTTCCTATTCATGAACTTATCAAGCTTCCTCTCGGTCTACTGGTGACCCTATGAATTTTCCCTTTTAATATGTTAATGTGGTAAGCTATAGGAACAGATTTTTCTAATATTATCAACCTTACATTTCTGGAATAAACCCAACTTAGTGATTATGAATTATATTTTTTATACATTTGCTACCATTTTCTTTAAACCTATTATGTTTATGAGTGAGACTGGCTGATAAACTTTCTTGTAATGTCTCCTTGTGTGGCTGAATGTCAAGGCTAGGCAATTATCACAAGAAAAGGTGGAGCATATTCCCTCTTTTTTCTAGATCAAGAAGTTTGTCTAAGACTGCAGTGATCTGTTCCTTGAGATGTTTGATAAAACATACCTATAAATCCATCTGAGTGGTTCAGAAAAAAAGAAATTATATACTGACTCAATTTCTATAAATTAAATGACCTATTCAATTTTTCTTTCTTGATTCAATTTTGGTAAATTATGTTTTATTGTCCATTTCACCTTTGGTTTTAAATATGGGCATAACACTGATAATAATATTTTATTTTTAAAAATTTCAGCCTCATCTACTCTTTGTGCTCATTGATTCTTTAATTCATTTTAGTTTTGGGAAAGAACAGAAATAGTTTTGTGTGTTTAATCTATCATATTTATCTAAAAAAAATCACACAGAAGGTACATTCTTTCTTATCTATAAAACGGAGGCAATACCAGAACCTACCACACACTCTTATAGTGAGGATTAAATGAGGTAATAAACACAAAGTGCTTAGCACAGTGCCTGGCGCATATTAGGAGCTCAAAAATATAATTACAGGGAATTTAAGTTACATCAATATGATGTCCTTATTTTGTTCTACTGAAATTTAATACTCCAATATAACAGTAACTGGTTATGGACTACACTTTTTTTTTTTTTTAACATTTATTTACTTTTGAGAGAAATACAGACAGATAAACAGAGCACGCGATGGGGCGAGGGCCAGAGAGAGAGGGAGGCAGAATCTGAAGCAGGTTCCAGGCTCTGAGTTGTCAGCACAGAGCCTGACATGGGGCTCAAACTCATGAACTGTGAGATCATGACCTGAGCTGAAGTTCAAAGCTTCATCAACTGAGTCACCCAGGTGCCTTGGGTGTGTCTAATGTTTCTTTATTTTTCAGGGAGCAGGGGAGGGGCATAGAAAGAGGGAGACAGAGAATCTCAAGTAGGGTCTGCATTGCCAGCGCAGAGGCCAACACGGGGCTCAAATGAATGAACTACGAGATCATGATCTGAGCCAAAATTAAGAATCAGACGCCAAACCGACTAAGCCACCCAGGCACCCCTGGTAACTAGGCTCTTTCAATTGTACTTCTATTCTTCTTTTTTTTTAAGTTTTATATATTTACTTAATTTGTATACCCAACATGGGGCTCGAACCCATGACCCCGAGAGCAACAGTCACACGCTCCTCCAACTGACCCAGACAGGTGCTCCCCAACTCTACTTCTATTCTAACTGGCCTCATCAAGACACAGCGGCCATCCTCTAGTTCTGAAACTCAGTCTGGGTTTTCAGGCCCTAAGATTATGAGCTGCACTCTTAGTTTAAAATTAAATGCAAAACAAAGTAAGAGGTCTACTCTGGGATGTTTTCCCCTTGAGGGCAAGGGCCATGCTTTTATCACCGAGTATATGCTATGAGCCTGGCACAATGAAAAAACTGTGAGTTCTTGACAAGAAAACAACACCAAAGAAATTATAAAATAATGAAATTATGATGAAAATCATAAAGAAAACTCTAATGGCCTCACAAGGTTTTCATTATTAGGTGTCTTATAGTCGTATGTAAACACTCAACTGATTTTATCCATAGACCCTTCATTAGGGAGACTCTCACTATAAGAAGGTCTTTCTACCCTCTCTAACAGAGAGGTACCTGTTCGGCATTCCACTCCCAGTCAATTTCTGTATGTAAGTTTAACCTCAAAAGAAAAATAATACTATAAACAGATATTGAACTTCAGTTAATAATATACACGCTCAGTAATTTAGGGGGATGTATACCGATGTCTGTGATTTACTTTAAAATGCATTAGAAAATACGATGGATTGATGAATAGCATGTGGGATGGGTAGGTAAATAAATACGAGCCAAAGCAAACACAGTCAAGTGTTAATGGCAAAATCTAGATGGAATTATATGGGTGTTTACTGTAAAATGATTTCTACCTTCCGTGTTTGAGAATTTTCCTTATGAAATATAGGGAACGATACAAACTCCTAGACTTGGCAAGTTAAAAAAAAACTAAAATAAAAAGAACATGAAAAAATGTTTATATTATACATATAGCAAAAGTTATTACAATATAAAAGACTCCATTCCAATCTACTGAAAAAACGAAGAACAGGAGTTCTGTAAGATAAATGGGAAAAGACATTAACAAAATATAAATAGGAAGTAAATCCATAGAAAATCTTCAGTCACCTATAACTAAAGAAAAATAAAGCAAACCTGCAATACCATTTTCCAGCTATTTTATTAGCAAAATTAATACCCATATGCACGCATGCACACGCAATTCTTGCAAGGCTGCAGCAGAAATGGTAACTCATATGTATACAGCTGGCAGCATTCAGTATAAACAAGCACAGCCTGTTTGGGAAGTGGTCTGGCAGTCCCTAAGTTACAGTGCTCATCCAGTCCTTTGACTTGATGGTCCTAACTCATTCAAACATGAGCTGCATCCGTCCAAAGCAGCCACAAGATGTTCACTGCAGTATTATCTACTCAAGGATTAAACTATGAGCCACCTAAACGGCCATCGGGAGAAGAAAGATTTCGTGAATGGTGACACATCAATACAATGGAATAGGATCTAGACATGAAAAGAAAATGACAATGACGGAAGCTTATGTGAAAATATGCAAAGTGTTCATGACACGACCAAATGGAAAACTACTTATACTTGATTGTGAAGCTATAAGAATAAATGAAACACGCACTGGCACTGTAAAGAAACATGAATAATTAATGAAAATGACATGTTGTGGGGATTGTGGCTGATTTCTTTTTCTAAAATTGTCTTTAATCCTTCCAATACATCTTTCAATTACAACAATTAAAAAACCCATCTCAAGACTCTACTCACGGTGCTGAGTTTGCTGCAGATGATGAGAATCCGGCGTTCATACAGCATACTGGCATACAGATGTAACATGTTGTTTACATCCACAGCCACAAAATATTCTGTCAGATTTCTCTAGGAGAAACAAGAAGGGGAGATCATGGCTTATTTTGTTTGTTCTTACTACAGGCGGTATCTAAAAAAGTATGAGAAGCAGAAAATCATCAGAAAGTATACTCTCCTCTGCCCCTATCCTATTCTTTCCACCGGGGAGACTGAATCCCACTCGTGTGTAAAATCATGAAATGCAAAGTTGGAAGAGACTAGAGATGCAGCACTTCTGTGTGGGGATTACAGTTTACGTGAGGTCACGGGCAGCACTGCATCCCATTTCTTATCAGTTCCAAAGGGTGAGCAGGACAGGAAGTCTGCAATCTCACGAATTAGGAAACCGAGGCTCAGGGAGGGATGCCAAGATCAGAGTCTCATGAGCAATAAAGACAGGACTGCAGCTCAGATCTTCTGACTCCAGATCCTAAGACTTTCCCACTGCACCGCACCATACGTGTAGGCAAGAGAAAGTACCCAAGGACCAAAAGGCTTCTGGCACAGAGCCCGTTTCTGTCCAACAGATCCCACCCGCAAAGGCTGGGCACGCTCCTCTCTTGTCATCACCGCTGGCATCCCCTCCTCCACAGTTTACACTCTCTGAAAGGACTCGGCAGGAATTAGAGCAATTTCAAAGATTTACAATTTCCAGGTATTTCACTCAAAAGGAAAAAAAAATTGCAGACAAGCAGCAGCAAGTGGTGACAAAGCAGTGTTTTAACCAGCTTTTGTCTGGAGCCGGGACTTCATGTCTTTAATTAGTACTATGGATTGGCACTCTTTAGGTTTCAGAAAAAATATAATGTGTTTCTTTTCTGCAACCCTTTCTATACCCACCTGACTTTAATAATACACATGAATATGTTAATTTCCTCAGTGTTACAGGTTTTCAATGCCACACAATATAATCCTCTGAAACTGAAGGGGGTCAGGGAGAGAAGAACACGGCTGCCAAGGGGTTGCAGTGTATAATGATGAAAGAGTTGTAACCCATAAATTCAAGAAAACCAGGTGGGTTTTACATGCAAAATAGCATAAAGTGCTTTTCAACAATATTATGGGTTGGGAATAAGAATGGGCACTTATCTTATGATTTATTGCTGTTTGGTTGGAATACCAGGTTAACCAGTGACCTTTATAAAGAGCGAGTGAATGAATAGTTCCATATACTGACTACCTACCAAGTACCAGGTACTATATTAGGGACTTCGTGCACGTGATCTTAAACAGTTTCTACAAAACTCCAGTGAGGCATTCTCCCCTCCCCCCCCCCAATATCTAAAGTAAGTCTGAGAGAGATTCAGTAACTGGTGGAGTCAGAATTTGGACCCCGATCCAACTCCAGAGCCCATATACTTTCCCTTATGTTACGCTGACCCACTGGAACATTTTTAAACATCTACAAGACACAAAGCTTTACATGCATTATTTCATTTGATCTTGAAACCACCCTTTGAACAGGTATTATCATCTCTACATACAGATAAGAAAACAGAGGCAACAGAGAAAATGAATATGACACTAGGTACATATTCGGTCTTGGGTGAGTTAGTCTCTAAGCCTGTGCTCTTTGTTTATATCCCTGAAAATTGTAGGTGCAAGCTGTTTTCAGGAAAGAAAGCACAGTACAGGAACAAAGCAGGACCAAAACAGGCCTGCTGAAAGAGAAGCACTGTTGTTGTTAAGAACTGTTATCCCATTTAGGGACCAATCCTCATGTGCTAAACAACTGGTACTTTGCCTGTGTTCTCTCTGATCATTCCCAACAACGCTGAAAAAGGCATTATCATTTCCATTTTACAGATGTAGAAACTGAGGCTCAGGAGGGGTAAGTAGTCTGCCAAGGTCACCCAGCTAGAAAAGGCAGAGCCCAGTTTCAAAAGCAGGCCTTCTGAATCTGAAACCTTTGCTCTAACCACTACACTGACTTGCCTCTTAACAAACTTGAAAAACAAACCAGAACAAGAAATGCGCGGTCTGAATGAGTCAACAAGTGGATCTCTCGCCCGGTGGACTGAGGAGTGCTGAGCTAATGATGTCAGGGTGGGGTTTGTTCTGAAGACCGTGACATGGCAGAGCTATTCTCACAAACAAAAATACAAGGCCCTCAGCTGAGCATTTCAGTAAAATGCTTAACTGCTGATGAATTACATAAATTTTTCTTTTAGGAGAGGATGGAAGTAAAAAGAAAATAGAAATGAGGAGCTTAAAGAAGGCCAGAAAGCCCATTAGCACTTTTGACAGATCCAAAGATAACTCTGAAGCCACCAAAACGTGGCCTCAAGAGTCTGCCAAGAAGCTTCACGCTGGGTAGAAATATGTTACACAGCTTGCCGTCCAAATAAGGAGACACAGCGTCAGAAGACAAATCCTGCACCTTATTTTGGTGGGAGAAAAAAAAAATCATAAGGATACTTTTGTGGATGGGGAAGGAAGCTTTTCTGAAATAAAAACACCACTTGGTCAAGGCATAACCCCCAAGCCCAATCAGGTTCTGAGGGATTCAGGTGCTTGTTCCAAAAACTCTACACAGGTATGTTAAAAATATGTAACATTTAGCCAAATTCTCTCTAAACTGTCATGTACTTTTTTTGGTATTTCTCATCCCATCTGTGCTGATTACCAAGATATTTGTGTCTAAACAGAAGCTGTCTTTCTTATCTGCTTCCTCCCCTGCCTCTTTCCTTCTGGGAAGCCACCCGCCCAGGCGGGTGGGAGTGGGTGGGAGTGGCGACAGCCCCAGGAACGTCGCTCAGCCATGGGAGCACCTGTGGGGCACAGCGGGCCTTGGGAGCAGCTGTAGGGAACATTTACAGCTTCTATCACGCTTCATCTCTGAAGAAAACCCCTTGGAGAAAGGGGTCTTCTCCCCTGTCCCTTAAGGGATCCAGTGGCTCAAGCCCCACCAGTCCTCAATCTCTCAAACCTGCCATGGCTTTTCATACCCTCAGGCCTTTACTTATGTTGTTTCCTCCTCCTGGAGTGCTCTTCTCTTCCTTGAGGACACCCATTTACTCTCCAAGACCCAGGTGAAATGTCACCTCCCCCTGGAAGTCTTCCTCAATTCCTCATTTGTCAAGCTCCTCCACTTTAAGCAGGCACGGAGATTTTGTCTCTATCTTATAACCACTCAGTTACAAGTAGGTCTCGGTCACTTGACTGAGATCCCTCTGGGTACAATGACATGGCCTATCACCTAGCAGTTTGATGGAAGAATCAATGAGTAGAGAAAGCACTGACTAAGACTCCTTAGCTGGAGGAGGAGGAACACACCAGCCTGGAAGACAGACAAGGTGGTGTATTAGGAAGAACATAGCACTGATGTCAGAAAACCTGGGTCTGAGTTGGATGAAGTGATCAATGGTGAAGGGCTCATGGAAAAAAAAAAATTGACACTAGCAACTCACAAAGTCAGATAAAACAGCAGGGGGGTGGGACTGGGAGTTGTCTGAGGTATCTATAGCTACATTATTAAAAGGGTAAAGAAATAGGTGGTTTGTTCATCAGGTAGTGGGGGAGAGGCTACATACAGAAGCAGGTGTTGATTTCACAGGCAGCTCAATCATATTTCTCTGATGGGTAAGACAATAGTGTAGGGAACAAGGAGAAGACAGGACTTCCATGGCAAGCTGTCCTAGGTCGAGACTGCAGCCAGAATAGACTATGAGCCTATATTTATAAAGGACACAAGGTACACCACTCTCCTAGCACGCTGCTTCAGGGGGACTACATCTTCAACCTCCCCCTTCTGTCTCCTGTAATCAGCCCATCAACAAACTTATTTAACTCCTACTATGTGTCTAGTACCATCCTGGGAGCTGGGCCTGCAGAGATTAAAGAAAAAAGATGATCCCCATTTTCCAGGAATTTAGCCTGGGGATGGGAATGGCATCAGTATGATGTGCTAAGTACTGTGGCCCAGGTTGCACATACACCAGGGCTGCCTGAGAAGGGCAGATTCAACTTTGCTGGATGGATGTGAGGGGAAGGCTTGACAGAGGAGAAGATACTTGGTCTGGGTCTCTCACCAGGGGTTCTCACCAACGGACACAGGGAGAAGTGTATTCCAGGTTGAGACAGAGGCAAGAAGGAGAGAAGGGCTCTTTGTGGTTCAATACAATGAAGAGGAGGGTTTAGAGCAGAGGACAGGCTGGGGGCGGGGGACTGGGTGCAGATGCTGTGGTAGCCTAGCCTTTCCTTGTGGGTAAGAGGGAGCTGCTGAAGGATCATGCTATAATCACATCTGTGTTTCAGAAAGATCTTCCTAGAGGTCCGATGGAGGACGCACAGGAGCAGGCCAGCAGGAGGCAGCACAATTAGTGAACAGGCTGCTGCCATATTCCCGGAAAGAATGGTTACAGTGAAGAAACTATTGAGATGAAAGCTTTGGATATGGATGTGACAGATCTCTGTAAAGTGGAATCACAGGACTTGATAATGAATTTGACCTGAGAAGTGGAGGAGGAGGAAGAATCTCAGACAACACCCAGACTTCCAGGTTACAGAGTACCACACTTGCCCAGTTTTTCAGGGGAACAGGCTACTCATTTAATGAGAGACCAGTCCTCCTTCTAACGAACTGTCGGTCCTGTTAGGCAAGGTGCTGCTGCTCACCTGGTCTTGGGCCTCGTGTCCTGGATTGTAACACCACCATGGCTACATCTAAATCACCACTCCCTTCCTTCCCTGACCATTAGTTCTGTGTGTGACTCACCTACTGGGAAGGAAAATCTTGCTTAGAGGGACTGTTTCCAGTGTCCATACTCAGAAGGGTTCAGTTTTCTCAGTGCCAGTACGTTTTTAGGTTTGAAGACATTCTGTTTCTATTCATAGAGCTCAAGCATTATTTCAGTTACATATCAATGATGTGCCTTGTGAGCATTCTCCTAACTGCCTAGCATTCATTATGGGCCCACTGTGTAGGGCTGGGTAGCAGGGATATGAAGCAGACCACTACTTGGGCTGGGGAGGGTTCAGGTCCAAGAAAGGTCTCTAGTTAACAGGGTCAAAATAGCCTTGAAGTTGAG